GGTATTGCTGTCTAACTTTGCTTTTTTTGTTTTTACCTGAACACATATAAGAATTTTGGAAAAAAATGACCAAGCTGGGAACTAAATACCAAACGACAGTCTGGCTCGGAAACAACAAAGTCAAACAAATGAGAATTGCTGAATATGCAAAAGTACCTAAAAACAATAAGCAGTTTGCAAAGATTCAGAAAAGGAGGATAAATAAAGAGAAAAGAAGGATAAATCTTTATCACCCCTCCCTTATGAATATCGAGTTATCCACCCGTGTGTCTCTTTAAAGGACACTCAAAACGTTGATCACCAGAGCTCGATCTTTCAGATCGCAACAAAAATAGCTTCAATAGTTGATGGCCATACAACTCCTTACAAGATGGGTATCATCGATTCTCCAAAGTTTAGTCTGATGGCGAACTTAGCGATATCTGCGGAACCCGGTGCTGCGGAAGTCGGTTAGTGGACGTATTCTCAACGTTCTTTCTGTACAATTTGTTGAGTTATCGTCGGCTTCAGTACATTGTAAATGTTCTGTTCGCTCTGGAAAAGACAACTTTCCGGAAACAATACGTAAGGGCCTCGCTGAGCACTATGGCGAAAAGTTAGTCACTCTTTTTAGTGTGAAACTAATTGTTTCGGATTTTTCTTTTCCTGCAGATGTGTTTCCCTCGCCGGCATCTTCTTGTTAAAAGAAGGAGAAGCGAAACTACATGTAATGCCCGACTTTCCTGGTTGTCCCTTTGGAAGTTTAGAGGAAGTGTGTTGCAAATTTATCTCCAGTGGTTCATTCTTCCAGTCCTCTTTAAAACATCTTGTCGTTCATGTCTACGTTGCCTTCAGATTGACAAGTGGTTGCACTTTTTTACCATGAAGGCCCCGCTTGTTTGCGCCTCTGTGTTCCACTCCTACGATCCGGGCCATAAACTAAGAATGGAGCACACTCACTGTTACTCAGATCATGGCGATGCAGGTAAGCTTTCTGCCCAAGATAGGGAATATGCGCCTTAATCTTGGTATCTCTTTGGGAATTAGTTCAGCTGTTTTGATTTCTCTTCAGTCTTTTGTTGTTAACACCTCATCATCATCTTTTAGGTCACTATCATTACGACACGACACCCGACACAGTTGTGTACGAAGGCTGGTTTACTGCTGCCGAGAAAATATACAGAATAGACGAAGTTTAGCAATTTTCAATTTTTATTCTTGTGAGAGACATCCAGTGATGGTATTCCAAAAAAAAAATTAAAAAATTAAAGAATTTTGAAGCAGCTATTGTGTTTATTCGCAGTAGAAACATGATTTTTTTGTGTCGGAATAAGTTTCATTTTTCGTCTACGCACGCTGATCAGTACAATGTCAAGGTGATTTGCTGACCCAAATGGTAGCATTTATTTAATAACTTTACTCACACAACTCCACCCATGTGCTAACAAATTGACCTTTTTTTCAGCAAGCAGTATCTTTTGATATTTGAGAATAATTATACTCGCTACCCTCATTGATTATTAGATCTAAAGTTGCACTAATTTCATCTGTTTCTTTGGAACTTAGCTTTTGTTTGTACTCTTGATCATAATTCGTGTCGATGTCCAACACCTGCCCCTGACCTTAAGCGCCTTAGGCTTATTTCTCAGA